CTCTGGGAGAAAAATGTGGCAGTCTGCTTCAGTGAAGATTTACAGCCTTGGAAACCCTATAGGGCAGTTCTGCTCTGTCCTGTAGGGTTGCTATGAGTCTGAATCGCCTCTGTAGCAACCTTTTTTTTTTTTTTTCTTAATATGAACTGCAACCCTTTTCTGCTAATGGAACCATGAGGAAATCACTGAACCTTGTTTTCTGTTAAGTGTATATTTTGATGTCTTTATTCACTAAAAACTGTTAGGTTTTAGTAAGTGATAAAATTTGCACGGTTCCAATTTTGTTACATATAGTTCTCTTTAATTCACGGTAACCCAGGTGAATTAGTGTCGTGAACATGTGGTTTAGTAAATGTTTTTGCTGGTAACAGTTTGAGTCGTTAGCTGTCTCAGAGTCTTTGCGAATGATGTATCACCTAAGGAATTGTGGATTTCTTCTCGCTCTTCTCCGCTTCGGCTTCCTCAGGTTCATCTACTGATTTTATAGCAACTCTTCTTCCCATTTATAGTCCTCTTAAGTTTGATTCTCATGCATCTTTTTGATCCTTCTTCCTGGCATTGCTACCTCCTGTGACAACATGTAACTTTTTCTCATCTGTCACTTTTATTTCTTACTCTATGTCGTAGACTACGTATGGTAAACACTTGCTTTGTTTGTCACTACTTTAACATTGGTTTCAATTATTCTAAAAATATATTACACTTAATATGTTTTAATTGCCCTTATTTTTCGAGTTTCATTGAATTGAGCTGGTTTTATAGGTGAGGGATTCTAATCAGAAACAAATTATAGCTTAAAAGTGGATTCTTGCTTTTCTGTTTTAGATTTCTGGCAGACATTCTCTTGGTGGTACTTCAGGTGAGAAATGCACAGATCGACTCGTTATTCCAGAGTGATGCTAGCTGGGCTAAGAGAGTTATGTGGACTCATTAGACATTTCCAGGGTGATGCTTTTCCTTTCACTTATACAGAATTTCTTTCTTTTTTACTGTGAATCATATATATGTAGCAAAAAAAGATGCCATTTCAACAT